AAAAAAAAAAAAAAAAAAATGAATCATATTTATTTATATATATACAGTACATATATAAAAATTATTCATGATTATTCGTACTTATATAATTTTTTCCATATACATTGTGGAACTTTAAATAAATTATCTATTTTGTGTAATGGCTCATCCTTTGGATAACCACTTTTCTGCACCCTTTCTTTATACATTGTTTCATTTCCATCATCCAAAACTAAAAATCATATAATTCTTTGTTAATGAGCATGACAAATTATAATAATTTTAAAATAAATCATGTTTACCTCTTTTTGTGCGAACAAATCTGTTAAGAGATTTCCTTTTCTTAGATGATCTCTTTTCATCTTCTATAAAATTTAAAAAAATATATGTTTTATTAAAAAATAAAGAAATATTGAATTTTAATAATTAATGGCAATATTTACCTGACTCAATTTGTTCATCACTTGGTACATATTCACTTTCAGAATCACTGGTTGTATCTATAACTTTAATGTTTGTTGCATTTTTAGTCAATGTTTCTTTAACATTATCTTTGGAAGTATTACAGAAAACTAATTCATTTCTGGAATGTTCGGTCTCTTTGATAGAACTCTCAACTTGATCAGATTTTCTATTTTTTGTTTCATAATTGATATCATTCTTTTTATTTAAATTTTTTGATTGATCAAATTCAGGAACCAATTTTCTTTTACTAGCTTTGATTTTTGTTATTTTAAGTTCTTTAGAGCTAGTATTTGAAAATTTTAATTTTTTAATTGATGTTACATGATGATTTTTATGCTCAGATACCTTTGAATTTTTTTTCAACTGTTTCTTTTGTTTGGCAAATTCAGCCTGTTGTTGAAGGTACTTTTCAAGATCAAGTAAATGTGAAGTTTTATTAAATGTTCTGAAAAAGAAGTATTAAATTTAGTTACTATTATTTTCACTTATGATTATTTTATTAATGCTATTTACCCCTTAATTTTAAACAAATCAGACTGTTTTTCAATTGCCTGAAACGGCGTAATCTCTCCAGTTTGAACTTGTTTTTTCAATTCTGTTTGTTCTGAACAATCTATAGTATCAGTTTTATTATAATTGTTTATTTCTTTTGCATTCTTTTTTGTTTTTATATTCGACTTTACAAGATTTTCAATTTGTTTTGACGCTTCATACAAAATGCTTTCCTCACTTCTTACGGACAAAACCTAATAACATTTCTTCATTACTAAGAGTGTAATTAAACTTTACATTACTTATTGTATATTATTACTGCACTATGGTACGCATTTAACTTTTCAACATTATAATTGTAAGTAACATATGATATAAATCACAAGAGGAAGAAAAGAGGAAAGAAACGAGAGACAAGATACTTAAAAAAATATTTGTACATTATCATTGACGGAAGATAGGATTAATATTGTTTTTCAAAAAAGATAAGTCGAACTAAGTAAATTTGTTTAATTCAACCTTCTCTGTTAAACTGCTATCACTCTCGTTCGCGTGTATGCCGCTTAATCTTTCATTATCAAACATTTGTCCTTGATTATTACTCTCCATCATTGCAATAATCGTACGAATATCTTCACGTGTCTAAAAGATAAACAATAGCCAAAAAATAGGAATAATTGAAAAAATGCTGAACTTTAAGAACTACATTTTAATTAATCTGAAATTATATTCCAAGATTTCGTTAACAAAATAATAGACAAATCAATTTTGCCATTTCAGTTTGCATAACATCGCATGTATTGGAAACGGATATACCTGCCATCGTGCTTAGTCTTACCGGCATAATGTTGTTTCGTATAAATATCGTTAGATGGCAGAATTAAAATTATTTTTGTAGGTAAGATCAGTCTTATAAAAAGTTACCATGGAGATACAATAAATTATTGGTTACCAAGTTACAAATAAATTTCCAAGAAGATATATAACAGTAAATTAGAAGTTAATAATCAGTCGTAATTAATCCATTAAATTCTGTATCATGTAAACGTCAAAATAAATTATAAAATTTTTCTTTGTAGTACGGTGACTTTATTATTTATCGATCATCGTATCTATATATCGAAGCGCTCTGCATTTGCAAAAAAAAAAATTTTTTTTAAAAGAACCAAAAAGAAACAATTTGTTTGATTAACTCTTTCCTTTAATATAAACTGAACCATATCTAAACTAATTCTTTCCTTTTTCTTAAACTGAAATACACCTAAACTAACACTTTCCTTCTTACAGTGAACCGTAACTTTAATTTATAAAAATACTTTTATATACCTAACTAACCCTTTCCTTCCTCTTAAACTGAACTCTTACTTCGATATAATGAAATATATATCTCCTTTGTTATTCTCTATTGAAATTGAATGTAAAGTACACGTGAACTATTTATTTCTTTTAACTGAAGTCGAACAGATCGAACCAACTATATTTTTCCTCTTTTTTTCTATCTTTAAAGCGAACGTAAAATCAGTCAATAGATATACAATTGACAACACTGTAAAGGATATTATTTTCTTGAATCAACTTGTATCATTTTGTTTGACATAGTTCTCTAATTCACCGTTGTTTAAGCATAAAGGATGCTAAAAAAACCAGTGATTTTTTTCCTGGTCGGTATTTCAGACCCGGACACGAAATTGTCATTTAATGTCGGGTCTATGCAAGTTAGTCAATGGCGGCGCGTGTTTTTCTTTTTTACCAAGTGGATTAGTGGCAATGTCGATAAAAGAAAAAAAGAAAACGGCGGTAAAAATATGAGAAATTCAAATTTTTAGTTTGAATTTTTAACATTATGATAAGGATTCTGGCGTCATAATGCAATAAAGTGTTATGTTTTCATTTTATTTTATTTCCTAAAATTTCACCATAGGCGGCTAACATACGAGCCAGCTACAAAATATTAAAGTATTAAAAATTTTATCTAAATAAGATAAGAATCAAATTGCAAGGAATTGATGAGAAGTTATCATTTTCTTAAGAGAAAAAGATTTAGAAAATTTGAAAATAAAATATTGATTTTAAGTAAAATTTGAATAAATTCAATTAGGTCCAAACCCATCTTGGAGTAACGCTTTCGAATTCGAAAGTGTCTGGGTGTCCGACGTGTGAAATATTGGGGAAACTTTTCGACCATTTGAATGGTGTTCGCGATTGCGATGTGGGTGGTCCAGAAACAGCTTCGAAACTTTCGAGACCATACACGCTGATCGCTAATATCTTTGTATCTATAACACCATACGGTACTGGCGCATCTTCCAGATCTCCACGATACGTCAACTCCTGCAATTGATCTGTTTTTGAATTCTGTTTTTCGGCAGTGCAACCATCCTGGCTGCATCCACGCATCACATTTCGAAGCTGCTCAAACGTAGTAATATTTTCTTGTAGATGCATCAAACGAGTTTTCAAGAGATTCATATCCTTCTTGGCAGGTTGTACAGTGTCTTTGATATTTTGAAAATTCGATGTACCAACATACGATATGAAACCGGTTTTTTTGAACTCCTCAGTATAATTCATAGCAACAGTGATGCTTGGTAGTTGTTCTACTAATAATACAGTCATGGAACGTGGTTCAAAGCTGATCCATTGTAATGCAGAAGTACCACCATTTTGATGTGACATAGTATTAAACCAAGATTGACTGTTTGTTGCTAGTCGATTTGCTGCCATTAATCTTGCGGTTAGCATCACCTAGTGTTTATTATTATTATTATTATTTAATTATTTCTTGTATATAAGACAAAATATATGTAAATAAATTTAACAATCAATTCGTACATCTTGATATAAAAAGCTCCATTCATTCCGATTCGTTATTAGTAGAGGTGTTCCGGTAATAACCATTTCATGATTTTCTCCATTTATTAAATAGAACTCATCTCGGGACGATAATGCCCCGGGATAGGATGACATCATGATTGATCGACTTGGAATCAATGCATCAGTTTTTGTCATAGGTAATACATGATAGCCAAATGTATATTTTTTTAAAAGTCTTAACATGTGAGTGTATCTGCAAAAGAATGAAGAGTTCTAATTGATTTGTATTAATTACTATTGTTTAATAAATTTCATGCATTATTTATATAGTGTACAAGTTGTCAAATAAGTTGTTCAAATAATTATACCTACGTCTATTATAATTATCCTTGCTGCATAAAAATGTAAAACTTATATCAGTTTATGTTTGGAAGTCTTAAACAGATTGATTGATGTAAAAACTAAATAATGATTCACTTACGGTGCTGACGTATGTTGTGTAATCGTAATTAGAGGTTCCGAATTATCCCTTGGAAGTGATTTAAAGTGGATTGTAGAACTCACTAGGGAGTTGGAAATATTGAATACTTGTTGAAAACCAGATAAGTCGGAAGCTAAGGCGAGCCAAAGGAAATCTTCCGATTCCAATGACACCGACACACGGCTCCGGCGTACAGCAAATTTCCAACCAGCTTCCAACCCATCTAGTTGAGTGTAAAATAATCGTATCTAAACAGAAATCAATTTTATTAATTTTTATTATATGTAATACTATGCTAATTATAATTCATCCGAAATTAATAAAACGATTATCATTTAGATATACTGTTCCTTTTTACAATTAATGAAACGATTTATTATTAAAACAATGAGAAAGTTGTGTACCATATGCCAAAAAGGATCACTAGACTCTTTTGATTCAGCACGTTCACGAATGACGGCAGTGTTGTCTCGAAGATATCGCATTAATTTTCGGCATTCGACAGGTTTCGCTTCGCATTCTGGCTTTATAGTGTTAAACCAATGATGGTGAATTAATTGCCAAGTGAGACTACCTTCCAACAATCCGGCAGCGTAAGCTTGTACAGTATCTGGATATTTTGATGAAGTTTCTATTTCGATATAGGACCATCTACAAAATTATTTTAAAATTACTATCCATAGAAGATAGAAATATTATATCATATTTGATAACATTATCCTAATGTAATATTACATTACATTACATTTGTCTGTTTGTGTAATGATAGCAGAGGAATTTTTTACTGTTTTTTACTATTAATTTTATTTTCTGAATAAATGTGATTGACCTACCCATGCTCGAAAATTTCAGTTTTATAATAGGCACGAGCTACATGCAATGGCACGGCGTTCAGATCATTGCCTTGGCCCCAAAAGTCAATGCGATATCCTCTTTTATGGTTCCATAATACGGTGGCTGAATAGATTCCATCTTGTTCGACACTATTAACACACAATAATACATAGTTAAGAAAGATTAACTGATGTACATATGTAATAAATCTATCTGTCTATGTAATTGACGGTGAGATAGATTATAGTTGTAACTTCTATAACTAAGAATTATTGTAAGAGTAATTGATGAATTGATTATGAAAAAATTTTGACAATTTTTCAGAGAAGATCTATCTTATCGATTTCAATGATTTTTGGATGGAAACCAACATTCTGAATAATGTTGAACACAATTTTTTTTATTCAGAAAAAAGAAAATATCTAATTATGTGTAATAATATATAATTATGTGTATTCATCGTGAAACACATTGAAACCAGTTTTTATTATCTTTCTAAAAAATGTCGATCAGAATACAAAATATTTCCCTTCATACTTTATCTATGTTTTCTGAATTTTTTAAAAATCTTAATTAAAATTAACATATTAATTAATTCGTTATCAACGAGGCGATTTCGAGATTGTTCGCAGGCAGATAGCTCGTTGCTACTTAATTATGGTTTATGACTGAACCGCAATAAACTTGGGAAATACCAGTAAATTTTTAGGAAAATGTTACAATAAAAAGACGACCTGACCACGGAGTAGCAAGGGTGACAAATCTTTTGGTAAGAGAAATCTCCTAAATCTTTTATGTTTGATCGCTCAGCACTTATCTCCATCGAAAAGGATCGCGTAGTTTTACAGAATCTACTCCCTAACAATTTCTAACAAATTAAATAACAAAAATGTACAAATTATATACAAAAATATTACAAAATAATAAAAAGAAAAATTTAAAAATTTAAGAAGTCTAAGAATAAGTTTTATATATTTTACATACATATAGAATAAGCCTAAGCATTCATGCGGACCACACGCAAAATGATAACGGCCGATGTAAATAGCAATGATAAATGCATTTAAAAGTAAAATAATTTTCATTATCTGTTTGACGAAATTGTAGTTTGCCGTTCGTGCACGCGGCGAACGAGATAAGCCCCGTATCAAGTACCCGAAAGCATTGACACTTCGGAAGCACACGCACCAGCCGTGCTGTGATAGCGACAAGCATGAATTTGAGGAGCCAGACGTCGCGTTACTCGATCCTTTTTCGCGATCGGTCTCTCAGTACGTCACCGTTGAAATGCTGATGCTTCTGATCTACGTATTATTATATTACTGTATGGATACCGTACATACACGTGTCAATCATAATCAG